TCCCACCTGGTACCAGTGGATGCTAGATTGGAAGGACAGGTAAGATGGATGGGCTGACAAGGAAGCTTTATAGGTGGACGGATCACCCAGAGTTTCCATCAGGGTGACTGGAAACCTTCGCAAAGAAGCCTTCAAGCTAAAGAAGAAAACTTGACGCCCTCCGCAGACGCAGAAGCTTCAAGCAGTTTACCGGTAGATCACCACCCAGAAACCTCTAGTTTACTATTTGCTAAGCCTCTACTACGGGATCCAAGTGTGCAGGGAAAGCAATGGCCTTTCCTCCTCTAAAATGAGCGCTGGTCGTTTTGGTTGGTTTGGCTTAGTGGTTGGAGCATCAGCTTGTGAACCAAAGGTTTGATTTCTGAATTCCCTGCGAAAGGCACTTAACCACAGTTTCAGGTATTGTGTTGTTGTTGTTAACCTTTGTTGTTGAAAATATTACATAGTTCCTTCTTTTTCCCTCTATTAACTTCTTCCAACCTGGTCCCGTCCCCCATTCCCTCACTCCCCCATTGTCTTTGTCCATGGATTATGCATATATGCATACAAATTCATTGACTGGTCTCTTCCCACCCACCCTTCCCCACCTTCCCTCTGAGGTTCATCTGTTCAGGCCTCTATGTCTCTGAATCTATTAAAAATATATATATTTTATTGATTTTTTACAGAGAGGAAGGGAGAAGGATAGAGAGTTAGAAACATCAATCAGCTGCCTCCTGCACACTCTCTACCGGATATGTCCCCCAACCGAGGTACATGTCCTTGACCAGAATTAAACCTGGGACCCTTGAGTCTACGGACTGATGCTCTATCTACTGAGCCAAACCGGTTATGGCCATGTATTCTTTCTGATGAGTGTTTTGGGTTTCTTAGGATATATTCCTAGAGGTGGGATCACTGCGTCAAATGGAAGTTCCATTTTTAATTTTTTGAGGAAACTCCATACTGTTCTCCACAGTGGCTGTACCAGTCTGCATTCCCACCAGCAGTGCACTGGGGTTCCCTTTTCTCCACAACCTTGCCTACACTTGTCATTTGTTGATGACAGGTGTCAGTTGATACAACCAATGAATGATACAACTGCTTACCAGTAGTAATGTGCTCCTATGTAGTGGGCTCTTGTTATTTTGTTGATGGTTTCTTCTGCTGTGCAGAAGCTTTTTATTTTGATGTAGACCCATTTGTTTATTTTCTCCTTAGTTCCCATTGTCCTAAGAGATGTATCAGTTAACATATTGCTACTAGAGATTTCTGAGATTTTGGTGCCTATGGCTTCTTCTAGGACTTACATGGTTTCATGTCTTACATTTAGGTCTTTTACCCATTTGGGGTTTATTCTTGTGTATGGTGTAAGTTAGTGATCTAGTTTCTTTTTCTTTTTCTTTTTTTTTTTTTAAATATATATTTTATTGATTTTATACAGAGAGGAAGGGAGAGAGACAGAGAGCTAGAAACATCAATGAGAGAGAGTCATCGATCGGCTGCCTCTTGCACATCCCCTACCGGGGATATGCCCAGGTACATGCCCTTGACCGGAATCGAACCCGGGACCTTTCAGTCCTCAAGCCAACGCTCTATCCATTGAGCCAAACCGGTCCCGGCTAGTTTCTTTTTCTTTTTCTTTTTTTTTTTTTTGCCTGTATCTGTCCAATTTTCCCAACACCATTTATTGAAGAGATTGTCTCTGCTCCAATGTATGCTCTTGCCTCCTTTGTCAAATAGTAATTGAACACAGTTGCTTGGGTCAATTTCTGCGTTCTCTGTTCTGTTCCATGGATCTATATGCCTGTTCTTGGGTCAGTACCAGGCTGTTTTGAGCACAGTGGCTTTGTAATATAACTTGAAATCTGGTATTGTGATTCCTCTAACTTTGTTCTTCTTTCTCAACATTGCTGCAGTTGTTGTTGTTTTTTATGTTGTTCCATATAAATTTTTGGAGTGTTTGTTCTACATCTGTGAAATATGCTATTGGTATTTTAATAGGGATTGCATTGAGTCTGTAGATTGCTTTGGGTAATATGGGCAATTTAAAAAATATTGATTTCAGAGAGAGGAAGGGAGAAGGAGAGAGAGATAGAAATATCAATGATGAGAGAGAATCATTGATCAGTTGCCTCCTGCACATCCCACACTGGGGATTGAGCCTGCAACCCGGGTATGCACCTTGACCAGGAATTGCCTGGGAATCGAACTGGGGTCTCCTGATTCCTAAGTCAACACTCAACCACTGAGACACACTGGCTGGAGTCCCCGGCCTCAGGGCCTGGGCTCATGTGGGAGGCAAACAATATGTATCTCTCTCATGTCAATATTTCACTTTCCTTCCTTTACATTCTCCTAGGATCAATGGTAAAATATCCTCAGGCGAGTATTATAAATAATAAATAAGAAAATAAGTAAGTAAATAAATAATCAGTTGAGTATTATAAGTAAATAAGTAAATAAATAAGTAAGTAAATAAATGAATAAATGAACTGTGGTCAATAGAACTAAGGCTGGAATGAATAGTCTCCAATGCCAAGGCAAGGCCTATGCCTTTAAAAACTGTCAGGAAGGCCATCAGTAAATCACAATAGGGATAAAGAAGTTTGAGAGTAAAGAGATTCATTTGACGAGATCAGAGTGAAACAGCTGCTAAATAGTCCAAACAAGAAAGGCCCTATATTGCCCTGCTGGTATGGCTCATTGATAAGAGTATTATGAACCTGGAGGTCACAATTTGATTCCTGATCAGGGCACGTGCAGGGGGTGTGCAAGAGGCAGCCAATCAATGATTCTTTCTCTCCTTTTCTCTCTCTCTCTCTCTCTCTCTCTCTCTCTCTCTCTCTCTCTCTCTCTCTCCCACTCTCCCTTTCTCTCTGAAATCAATGAAAGTATATTTAAGAAAAATAAAAAAATACATATGAAAAAAAAAAAGGAGAGGCAATTAAGGTCCAGAATCAGGGGAGAAGTAACAGGAATAAAAAAAAAAATAAAAAAAATAAAAAGAGGAGGAGCAAGCATTGCATAGGTCAGAGTTTCCTTCCAATGGGGCTGTGCAGGCCTAAGGGCTGCAACTTACACTGGATGGGGGTTTCATGGGGTTTGTTCTAATGCTTTCGGCCCATAGGATACAAACTATTCTGAACCTCTTCAAAATATTAGCCCCTGGTGTCCACTGGTAGTATCATGAAATAGACGTTATGATGGCACTGTATCTTTTAAAAAAAATCCCCTTTTGTAGCACTTCCTTAAAAACAGCTATTTAATGCAACTCTGCAGTGAGTTCTTGACAGTTCTGTCTTAACCATTCCGATATTCATGTAACATCATTGTAAAGGGTTGAGGTGTCTTCCTGGTAAGTGTTACGCTTATTTTTTTCAAAGCATCTTGTAAAAACGGTTATTAATTTTCTCCTTTGGTCTAACGAGTGTTTTCTATTTACTGCCTGTCCTGATAAGAGATATATTAAGCAGCTGAGTGATCAATACGTTTTCAAACTTTTTTCTTCCCTTTGAGTTTGTTATTTTTGAGAATTGTGGCAGTTTTGTGGGGTATTGTAGTAAAAAAGGAGTAGCTTCATTTAAGTATTTAATTCAAAGTACAACACTCATGTATTTGCTTTGACGCTTGCGAGTAGAGGCATATTTCATTCAAGTCATTGATGCGTGGCTTTTGAAAAAATACATTTACCCCCAGTTTTTTTGAGGTACAATTAATGTATAATATTTTATAAAGTTAAGGTGTACAACATGATGATTTGATATAAACAATTATTAGGAAATGGTGACCACAATAATATTAGTTAACACCAATCATCTCAATAGTTTCCTATTTTATGGCTTTTCTTTTCATATTCTCTTTTTACTGACATGATATAGTGATTTCAAAGAGCTGAACAGAATTTTTGTATTTGACTTATTGATGTGTTTTGGATATGCATAATAATAGCATTAGATCCTATCATTTCATTGTGTAATGCCGTATTAAATATTAGAATAAACTCATTGTGTTTGCAGGATAAATGTTAACAACTTGTATAAATAGTTGTTAGGTGTGCTAAATGAATGATAAGCAATGTTAGTTACAATGTTGTTATGTGTATTTATCTGTGTGTGTGAAGTTTTATAGAAAGTATAGTTGAAAAGTTAAAAAACATTTAATGTGGGTCAGTGTGATAATTGTTTATTTAAAACAAAATCTAAATTACTTACAGGGATAAAAAGATAATATAAAATTATGGATCAAGGTTCTTAATTCAGGATTTTAGGAAGTCCATGGGTGGGTTTAAAAGGCTATATTTTATTTGTGATATAATTTTACATTTTATAAGAGAAAAAGTGTGTCTTGCCCTATCCGGTTTGGCTCAGTGGCTAGAGCATTGGCCTGTGGACTCAAGGGTCCCAGGTTCAATTCTGGTCAAGGGCATGTACCTTTGTTGCAGGCACATACCCAGTAGAGAGTGTGCAGGAGGCAGCTGATCGATCGATGTTTCTCTCTCATCGTGTTTCTCTCTCATTGATGTTTCTAACTCTATCTCTCTCCCTTTCTCTCTGTAAAAAATCAATTTAAAAAAAGTGTGTCTTTCACCAGATTCTCTGATGTTATATATAACATCAGAAATGTTTTAAAAAATTATTGCTAAAAACAAATAGCTATGTGTAAGGTAGAAAGTGATTTTAATTATCAGAATTTAGAAATACTTTTAAATATTTAAATATATATCTGAGTTGTTTTTGTATTCTCCTATATGCTAAACCATGTAGGAAATTAATTCTATTTAGTTTTTTTTAAATTGAAGAAGTTTTGTAATGCTAGAACAGCAAAAAAAAAAATGTTTATAGGAAGAAAATTTGTACTCATCATATAGGATTCAGATGGTGCTTTTGGTTTATGTAAGACATTTTTAGAAAAAACTTTGAGTAAGATCTTTCAAGTCAGAGAAAAATTAAATAGAGACACTTTGTAATTTCAGTTTTTAAATCTTAATCTTTTTCAGAATTGCCAAATTAATAAGAAGTATGGTAAGTGGTCATTTAAAAATCTTTATTCATCCTCCATTTTGAAAATACATGGATCAGATTAATAAGAGCAAGCAATGGCTTGCACAACAGTTCTACTTTAAATTATTTATTTACTAGAGGTCTGGTACATGAAATTTGTGTGTGTGTGGGGCGGTCCCCTCAGCCTGTCCTGCACTCTTTTCAAACCAGCAATTGGATATCCCTTTCAAAATCTGGGACCACTGGCTCCTAACTGCACACCTGCCTTCCTGACTGCCCCTAACCACTCTGCATGCCTGTCTGATCGCCCCTAACCCCTCTGTCTGCCAGCTAGGTCTCCACTAACTCGCTTCCCTGCCAGCCTGATCACCCCTAACTGCAATTGTCCCTACCTGCCTTTTCTGCCTGCTTGCTTGCCCCTAATTGCTCCCTACTGCCAACCTGATCGCCCTTAACTGCCTCTGCCTCAGCCCCCTCTGTGGCTTTGTCTGGAAGAAAGGAAGGACGACCAGATGTCCAGTCGACCCAGTGTAATTAGCATGTTACCTTTTTATTAGTAGAGATTTTTTTTTATTTCAGAGAGGAAGAGAGAGGGAGAGAGAGATAGAAACATCATTGATGAGACGATCATTGATTGGCTGCCTCCAGCACACCCCCTACTGGGGATCAAACCCAAAACCCAGATATGTGCCCTTGACCGGACTTGAACCCAGGACCCTTCAAGATTTAAAAACCAAAATTAAAAAGTGTCTCTATTTAATCAGTCTGCAGGCTGATGCTCTATCCACTGAGCCAAACCGGCTAGGGCTAGTTTTTGAAATTCAGAGAATTTCGGCCCTGGCAAGTTTGGCTAAGTGGGTGGAGCATCACTTCTGGTACTAAAGGGTGCCATGTCTTGGTTGCAGGCTTGATTAGAGGCATTTGTGGGAGGCAAAAAATTGCATCAATGTTTATTTCTCTGTCTCTCCCCCTCCCTTTCACTCTCTAAAAATCAATGGAAAAATATTCTTGGTTGAGGATGAACAAAAGAAAAAAGAAATTAAGAGCATTTTGTTCTTAAGTAACATTTCAGATTTGTTTGATTAAGGATAATTTTTAAATATTTTATTGATATTTTTTTACAGAGGAAGGGAGAGGGATAGAGAATTAGAAACATCAGTGGGAGAGAAACATCGATCAGCTGCCTCCTGCACACCTCCTACTGGTACATGCCCTTGACCCGAATCGAACCTGGGACCTTTCAGTCCACAAGCTGATGCTCTATCCACAAAGATAATTAATTTTTATCCCTTTTTCCAAATCAATCTCCAGTTCTACAATTCCTTGAAAAATTTTATAAGAATGTTAAAATACTTTCCTATAGCTACAAGGAGGTAGGCAGTTTGATTCCTGGTCAGGGCACATGCCCAGGCTGGAGGCTCAATCCCCAGCAGGAAGTGTGTAGGAGGCAGCTGACTGATGATGATTCTTTTTAAAAATTTTAATCCTCACCTTCACCAGAAGATATTTTTCCATTGATTTTTAGGGAGACGAACAGACAGAAACATCCATGTGAGAGAAACACATGATTGGTTGCCTCCTGCATCAGGGCCCAGGCCTGAGAGGAGCCTGCAACCCAGGTAGGTGCCCTTGACCAGAACTGAACCCAGTATCCTTCAGTTTGCAGGCTGATGCTCTACCTTCTGAGCCAAACCAGCTGTGGCAATAATGTTTCTATCTTATCAGTTCTCTCTCTCTCTATCTCTTTCTTTCTCTCTCTCTCCCTTTCTTTTCCTCTTACCCTAAAAATCAATAAAAAAAGATGAAAAAAATACTATACTATATAGTATGAATACTGGTTTCCAAATATGATATTATAGAGCACTGGCTCTCAATCAGGGTTGAATTTGTCCCCCGGGGTATATTTGACTATATTTGAGACATTTTGTCTGTCAGAACTATTGGAGTACTCCTGGAAGCTAGTAAGTGGATGGAGGCCTGGGTTTCTGCTAAACATCCCACAATGCCCAGGACACGGTCTACTCCCTCCCCCCCTCCCCCCCAACAAAGACTTGGCCAACCTAAAATGTCAATAGTGTCATCGTTGAGAAACCCTCCAATTGGTAATTTTTGCAACTCCAGAGTGTTGCCATTGTTCTTACAGGCTTCTGTCGAACAAGATAGGCTGGGCCAAGCATTTGAAGATGCTTTTGACGTGTTGAGGCAACATTCAACTGGCAATCTTCAGTACCCTCCAGGTAAGATGTTAGCCCCTTCTACTGCGGCCACATCAAATGGCTGGTTGGTAACATACATATGCAAGAATAATGATAAGAACAGAGAAGACCGTTTTTTCCCAATGCAGCTAGAATTAATTCTAACTAAGGCAAAATGCATCCAGGGTTGCCTAGCCTAAATCAATCTAAAGTCTTATATATAAAATGCAGAATACATAGAGAATGACATTCCACACAGGAATACTAAGACATATGATTCTTTTTTATTAAGTACTAGAGGCTTGGTGCACAAAATTCATGCACAAGGGCAGAGGGGTCCCTCAGCCTTGTCCGCACCTCTTGCAAACCAGGACACCTCGGAGGATGTCTGACTGCTGGTTTAGGCCTGATCCCACAGGGATCTCTGCAGGATTGGGCCTAAGTCGGCAGTCGGACATTCTTCTCACAATCTGGGACTGCTGGCTCCTAACCTCTTGCCTGCCTACCTGCCTGCCTGATCACCCCTAACCACTTATCTGCCTGCCTGATTGCTTCTAACCACCTGCCTTCCTGAATGATCATCCCTAACCACTCTCCTGCCTGCCTGATCGCCCCTAACCACTCTGCATACCTGCCTGATTGTCCCTAACCACTCTGCCTGCCTGTCTAATTGCTCCTAATGACTCTGCCTGCCTGCCTGATCACCCCTAACCACCTCTGCCTCAGCCCCTGCTGCTGTGGCTTCATCCAAAAGGACATCTGGAATGACATTCGGAAGGTCATTTGGCTGTCTGGTCTAATTATTATTATGGATGTTGACATTTTCAGAAAGAGTTTTTCAATTCTAATTTATTTTATTTTTTATTTTATTATTTTTTAAAAATATATTTTATTGATTTTTTACAGAGAGTAAGGGAGAGGGATAGAGAGATAGGATGAACAAAAGAAAAAAGATCGATGAGAGAGAAACATCGATGAGAGAGAAACATTGACCAGCTGCCTTCTGCACACCCCCTACTGGGGATGTACCTGCAACCAATGTACATGCCCTTGACCAGAATCAAACATGGGACCTCTCAGTTCGCAGACCAACGCTCTATCCACTGAGCCAAACCGGTTTCGGCTCTAATTTATTTTAAAAGACCTTCCACCCAAGGAAAATATATTTTACTGGAAAAAATAAGTATGCTATTCTTTTGTACCTATTATCCCATAGACTATATAGATGTATAGCATAAATGAGATGCAGATATTTTAAAAATTGAGTTTACACATGGTATTGCGGGAAGTTCCAAGATATAAGAACTCATGCGTTCTCATCCTGCAAGGAGCGTGTACTCTTGTGGAAGAAATGGAATATGTAAAAACTTATCTGTAATACCAGCATAGTTCAATAAACACCCTAGGGAAATGCTAAGTGATGAAAAGAACATGGTGGAAACAATCCTATCTAATAAAGAGGCAATATGCTAGTTGAGCGTCACTCCAACACACTAGATGGCTGCCCCCATGTGGACATGAGATGGCCACTACAAGATGGCCAGAAGGAGAGGGCAGTTGTGGGCGATCAGGCCAGCAGGGGAGGATAATTAGGGGCAAGTGGGCTGGCAGAGGACAGTTGTGAGGGACCCAAGCCTTCAGGGGAGGGCAGTTGCAAGGGACAAGGACTATAGGGGAGGGCAGTAGTGGGTGACCAGGCTGCAACAGAGGGTAGTTAGGGGTGACCAGCCCAGCAAGGGAGGGAAGTTGGGAGCAACCAGGCCTGCAGGGGAGGACAGTTAGGGGCAATTGGGCTGGCAAGGTAGTGCAGTTAGGGGCAACCAGGCTGGCAAGGGAGGGAAGTTAGAGGTGATCAGGCCTACAGGGAAGGGCAGTTGGGGGTGACCAAGCCAGCAGGAGAGGGCAGTTAGGGGCAATAGGGCCAGCAGGGGAGCAGTTAGGCATCAATCAGGCTGGCAGAGGAGTGGTTAGGGGTCAGCAGGCTGGCAGGCAGATGTAGTAAGGGGCAATCAGACAGGCAGGCAGATGTGGTTAGGGGCAATCAGATAGGCAGGCAGGCGAGCAGTTGGGAACCAGCAGACCTGGATTATGAGAGAGATGCCCGACAGTCAGACATCCCTCAAGAGGTCCCAGATTGGAGAGGGTGCAGGCTGGGCTGAGGAACACCCCCTCCCCCCGTGCACTAAGCCCCTAGTTGCATACATAAACATATACGTATAAGCACATATACACACAAACATAAACTTTATCTTTTTAAATTTCTTTCTGCTTTTACATTAGATTGCAAAGACTATGTGACTGTCTTCAACCCCTGCCCTCCTGTCGTAGGAAGTCCCAGCTACTACAGTTTGCTTCCTTCAGAGCAACCTGTCTACAACTGGAAAACAGTGTTTGTGAGTATACACACCAGGAGGCTTCCCTCCTCCCCTCCACCCCCCTCAGTAACAGGTAAATTTCCCTTTTGCACCAGATTTCCCCTTGGCACTTGGCGTATGCTAGCTGAAACCCAGCTGAAAGACAGCACAGGCTGCAAATGCTTACTCATGACTGCTTACTCATGGCCACCATCAATCAGGGTATGAATGTAACAGGCAATGTGGGCGGTGCTGAGCAGTGCTGTGAAGAAGGAAACTGCCCTTTGTTATTGCTCCTCATCCAGCGGCAGACTGGTTTGAATGACTTCTGGAAAGAGGAGGTGCTTTTAGGATCTAACATCACTGCTTCTCTTAAGTCCATCTGGAAAATTGCAGAACAGCTATGATGGGTCCCTAAAAACCATAGGGCAAAGGCCCCAACATCCCCTGACCTGGCTTTACCTACAATTTTGTATTCATCTGTTCTATTGCCCCACCCCCCCCAAGCACTAACTACACGTATTGGGCCAATTAATTTATATTTTAGTAGCTTCCTGCAAAAGTAAATATCCCCACCATCTCCCTCCATTCGTGTGTTCTTTTACACTGTTCTGATGTGTCCATTTTAGTAAAGCAGTCTTAATGTAGTGGGGAGTAAATAGGAAATGATTTTTCCTTTTCTTCTTTTATTACTTGCAACCGTGCTACGCAAAAATCTTTTTTTTTTTTTTTTTTTTTTTTTTTTTCTGACCCTGCGGATTGTTCTGTTACTGCCTTTCCCCGAGACATTTCTTTGAAGAGGGAGTTTGTGGTTCCAGCTTAAGCTCTTCTGCCTCCATTTAGGGTTGCCAGGTAACATACAGGATGCCCAATATTTCTATTTGTTAAATCTGGCAACCCTCCTTCTGCTTTGATTCCCACACACTGCACTGCCTCTTGTGGCTGGGAAGTCCTTGCCTGTTGGGCAGCCCTGTTGCATGGGGCGTGGTAACTCAAGTTCAGCCCCGTCCACCCATGTAGATCCACATGTCCTTGTCCTACGGTATGGTAGGAACTCCTGTCCCCTTTCTTCGCTCTGCCTTCCTCTGGTTGCCATCTTTCTCCTCTTATCTCCTCTTGCCTGGATGGGCATTTAAAGCAAGAATGGAAATCCACCTCTCCTTTTTGCTGACACTTAAATTCAGCAAAACTGATTCTTTTTGGACTTGTGTTCTCATTGGTATTTTTAGGGGGGGGAAGCCACCCCCTGTCCTTCCTCATATGGAGAGGACACTATGGGAACTCCTCAGAAACCCAAAGATGACCCTCCATCGCTAGGTCCTCTGCATATATGCTAGTTCTGCCCTGGGAGAGATGTGGCTGCAGCTGAGGGGTAGTGCTTTGGAGAGTCTGGAGGATGTTTAACACTCTTGTCCCCCAGCTTTTGATTTTAGCCACATAGAAAGTCCCACTTAACTTCCTGCTGCTTTGTTTGTATAGAACCATCCTGTGGACCTCCGTCTTGAAGGGAATATTCATCCATCTCTGCAGAACATCCCTGAAAACCAGGTGGTACAAGCTCCTGTTCTCCAGCAAAAGGGAGGAAAAGGTACATGGATCCATCGTGTAAAAGAACCGGGTCCCCCTCAAAGCAGTTTTAAGGGGATTCCTTATCTGTTTGGAATTGTATTTGCAAGATATTCTCTAGTCACGGTTGAGCATAATTTAACTCAGACAGACTGAACTCCAAGCTGTTCATCTCGGATGAGCTTTCCTATTGCTTCATAGAGATATTGTAAAGCTGCAAAGTATCCACTGAGCTCAACTAAATACATAATATGTATATATTGTATTTTAGGTATCGAAAGGGGAATTTTTCACAAGTTATTTTAGAATTCTTATTCCAGTTGTGAAGTCCTTGGGATAAAAATCATCTTATTTTTTTAATTTTATTTAATTTTATTTTTTAAATATATTTTATTGATTTTTTACAGAGAGAAAGGGAGAGAGATAGAGAGTTAGAAACGTCAATGAGAGAGAAACTTCGACCACCTGCCTTTTGCACACCCCCTACCAGGGATGTGCCCGCAACCAAGGTACATGCCCTTGACCAGAATCGAACCCGGGACCTTTCAGTCCGCAGTCCGACGCTCTACCACTGAGCCAAACCGGCTTCGGCTCATCTTCTTTATTAAGTTTTCTGCAAAAAATGTTGTATAATAATTTGATATTTTGCCGAAACCGGTTTGGCTCAGTGGATAGAGCGTCAGCCTGCAGACTGAAAAGTCCCAGGTTCGATTCCAGTCAAAGGCATGTACCTTGGTTGCGGGCACATCTCCACTAGGGAGTGTGCAAAAGGCAGCTGATTGATGATTCTCTCTCATCGATGTTTCTAACTCTATCCCTCTCTTTTCCTCTCTGTAAAAAATCAATATAATATATTAAAAAATAATAATTTGATATTTTATAAATTTGAACTCCTGATGTGAGAGAAACATGGATCAGTTGCCTCCCATATGCCCCCAACCAGGGATTAAACAGAAAACCTAGGTTATGTGCCCTGACCAGGAATCGAACCCTCAACCTTTAGGTGTATGGAACAACCCTCCAACCTAGTCACCTGGCCAGGGCATCCTTTAGAATATGCATGTTTGTATATGCAAAAAGTAAGAAAAACACTTTCTAGAAATATGTAGGATAGACTAGAACTTTTACTTTTCACTTTGTGCTTCCCTCCTTAATCATTTATCATGAGCATATAATATTTTATTAAAAAATAAAAATTTAAACATTTTTTTAAAAAGCTGAGGATCCATTATAATTTTTTAAAATATATTTTATTGAGTTTTTACAGAGAGGAAGAGAGAGAGATAGAGAGTTAGAAACATCAATCAGCTGCCTCTTGCACACCCCCAACTGGGGATGTGCCCGCAATCAAGGTACATGCCCTTGACCGGAATCGAACCTGGGACCTTTCAGTCCCCAGGTGGACGCTCTATCCACTGTGCCAAACCGGTTTCGGCTGGATCCATTATAATTGATTTAACCACTGGATAAGAGGCAGTGAGTTTGTTTAAGGTTGTGACTTTTAATTCATGATTTGTTTTTGGTAAGTCCCTTTCATTTCTCAGTTCATAAACTCAAGATAATACAATGCAAAAGATAATTGTAAAAATAAAAAACCTTTGAGGTTTTTGGATGACTAATGACTGATGCAAGAGTATGTCTCCCCAGTGGCTATTTAAAGTGGTTTGGAAATCCACTATTTTAATTTCTCAAGGGGGAAATGGAATTTGGCCATGGATTTTTTAAATTTATTTTTATTTTTTTAACCTCCTACAGATCTGATGAGGCATGGCATTTATAGGCCAAACCCCAAGTTACAAAACGGGTGGTCACCTCTGTTCCCTGTTCCACTAAAAATATCCCATCAACCAACCAAAAACCACAACAAATCTTCCTGAAGTTTCCTGTCTAGTAGTTCTAAAAAATAAAGGGCTAGGCTCCTAACGAGAAACACTCTGGCAGTACCATTTTATGTAATCGTAATGAAAATAATATCACAGTGCCCATTGTCATTGCTCATAAACAGTATTCAAATGTCATAAAGATATTTCAGCATTTTCCATGCCAGTTTTCTCTATACTTGATTTTTCAAGAAATTATGCAGACCCAGAGTTTGCATTTTTACCTTTGTCTCTGCTATTGAATTCACTTAGATTTGCATAATGTTTTGCCTTTGACAAAATGGATTCATACTCCTTTCCTCATTTTGACAACTCATTTGAATAAAGACCTTCAAATGACTTGCTTTCTGAAAATAGCTTTTGGGGCTTCTCTTTAAGACCACTACACTTGGTCACCCATTTTGCTCAGTTTCTTTGGTCTGTAGAAAGTTTTAACACTTGATATAAAAATACTAGTTAAGATTTAGCCAGATAAAAAGACCACACGAGAAATGGGAGATTCAGGTAAAGAGGTTCCAGGCTTCTTTATCATTGAAGGATGATGCAGGATTTTTTGACAATTTTCCCAACAAATAAAGGTCCAGTTCAAAGTTCAAGGTCCAAAAGACCCTTGACTTTCAAGTCCCATAAAACGATGCCCTAAATGCATGCCTATGTGAATGAGAAGGAGGAAAACCAGTCCCAGAACAGCTTTTCATGTTGTCATCAGTCAATAAACTCTTCCTGAGGATGTTCCTTGGTACAGCAATGAGTAGAGTGTGATGTTGTTTTCCTCCATTTTAGGCAGGAAGAAGCTCCGACTGTTTGAATACCTTTATGAATCTTTGTGTAATCCTGAGATGGCATCTTGTATTCAGTGGGTAGATAAAACCAAAGGCATCTTCCAGTTTCTATCAAAAAACAAAGAAAAACTTGCCCAACTTTGGGGCAAGAGAAAAGGCAACCGGAAGACCATGACTTACCAGAAAATGGCCAGAGCCCTGAGGAATTATGGAAGAACTGGGGAAATCACCAAAATACGGAGAAAACTAACTTACCAATTCAATGAGGCCATTCTCCAAAGACTCTCTCCATCTTATTTCTTGGAAAAAGACATTTACTCACAGTACGTTCAACCTGGTCAAGGATATTTGAGTTTAAACAGCTGGAATGCAAATTGTAACTATCCATATACTAATTACTATGAGCTGAGTTACCCTAATTGCTAAATATAATCTTACATATGATTTCCTAACATCAGAAATCCCCAAACCCACAATACAATGTATAACTAATAAATTATAGAATTATATACTACATAATTTTATTAACCAGTCACCTTAATAGAATTCAATAAAAATTAAAAAATGAAAATATTTATAAATTTCAGTATTTTTCTCTTTTATATTTAAATCTTTATTGTTCAGTATTACACATATGCCCTCTTTTCCCTTCTAGCCCACCCTAGCCCTTCATCACCCTATTGTGTGTGTGTCCGTGCATTATGCATATATGCATACAAGCTCTATGGTTGATCTATTCTCACCCACCATTCCTCTGAGATCCTATATAGTCTGTTCCATGCTTCTATGTTTCTGGATCTATTTTGTTCATCAGTTTATTTTGTTCATTAGGTTCCACATATGAATGATTTCATGTGATACTTGTCTTTCTCTGACTTGCAAGTTTTGCTTAGCACAATACTCTCCAGATTCCTCATGATGTCTCAAAGAGTGAGAGACCCTTCCTTTTTACTGCTGCATAGTATTCCATGGTGTAAATGTACCACAGCTTTTTTATATGCTCATCTCCTGATGGGCACTTGGCTTGTTTCCAGATCTTAGCTATTGTAAATTGCACTGCTATGAACACAGGGGTGCATACATTCTTTCTGGGTGATGTTTTGGCTTTCTTAGGATATATTCTAGAAGTGGGATTACTGGGTCAAATGAAAATTCCATGTTGAATTTTTTGAGGAAACTCCACAATGTTTTCCATAATGGCTGCACCTGTCTACATTCCCACCAGCAGTCTACTAGGTTCTCTTTTCTCCACACCCCCACCAGCACTTGTCATTTGTTGATATGTTGATGGTAGCTATTCTGACAGGTGTGAAGTGATACCTCATTGTCGTTTTAATTTGTATCTCTGTTGACCAGTGATTTTGAGCATTTTTTCATGTCTTTTGGCCATCTGTATGTCCACTTTGGAGATGTGTCTATTTAGGTCCTTTGCCCATTTTTAATTTGGATTGTTAGTCTTCCTTTTGTTAAGTTGAATGAGTTCCTTATATATTTTAGATAATAGCTCTTTATCAGTTGTATCATTGCCAAACAATTTCCCATTCAGTAGGTTGCCTTTTCATTTTGTTGACAGTTTCTTTTGCTGTGCAGAAGCTTTTTATTTTGATGCAGTCCCACTGGTTTATTCTCTCCTTAGTTTCCTTTGCCCTAGGAGATATATCTGAAAACATATTGCTATGAGAGATGTCTGAGATTCTGCTAAGTATGGGTTTTATGGTTTCATGAATAACATTTAAGTCTTTTATCTATTTTTAGTTATTTTTGTGTATGGTGTAAGTTGCTGGTCTAATTTCACTTTTTTTGCTTGTATCTGTCCAATTTTCCCAACATCATTTATTTAAGAAACGGTCTTGACTCCATTGTATGCTTTTGCCTCCTTTGTCAAATCAATTGAACATAATGGCTTGGGTTGATTTCTGGGGTCTCTGTTCTGTTCCACTTATCTATATGTCTGATCTGTGGCAGTACCAGGCTGTTTTGATTACAGTGGCTTTGTAGTATAATTTGATATCTGGTGTTGTGATCCCTCCAACTTTGTTCTTCTTTCTCAGTATTACTGTAGCTATTTGGAATTTTTTTTTTTTTGTAGTTGTTGTTCCATGTAAATTTTTGGAGTATTTGTTCTAAACTGTGAAATGTGCTAATGGCATTTTAATAGGCATTGCATTGGATCTGTAGGTTGCATTGGGTAGTATGGACATTTTAATGATATTGATTCTACCAGTCCATAAACATGGTATATTCTTACACTTGCTTAGATCTTGCTCTATTTTTTTTTTTCCAACTTCTTCACATAATGATAGTTTTATTTCCTCCTTTCCAATTTGGTTACCTTTTATTTCTTCATGTCTGATCACTGTGGCTAGAACTTCCAGTACTGTGTTGAATAAGAGTGGTAAAAGCAGACATCCCTGACTTGTTCCTGTTCTTAGGGAAAATGGTTTTGCTTTGGCCCAGTGAGTAGGATATTGGCTATCTTTTTTTTTTTTTTTCTTCATCAGTTTAGGAAAGTGTGCTGCCGTTATTTCTTCTTTCTATCCCTTTCTCACTTTCTTTCCCTCTGGCACTCCTATGAAGTGAATATCATTACGTTTCATGTTGTCCCACAACTCCCTTAAGCTGTCCTTGTGTTTTATAATTTTTTTTTTCTTTTTGGTTCTCTGATTGAGTGATTTTTTTTTCTCTACCCTGTCATATAATCCACTGATCTGATACTCAGCTTCCTCTAATCTGCTGTGTATTCCTTCCAATGTGCTCCTTTTTAGTGCTATAACATTCCTTCTGACTGGTCTTTTTTCATAGTTACTATATCTTTTTCTCATGCTGTTGAGCATTCTTGCCATCATTATTCTGAACTCTATGTCTGATGAATTTATGATCTTCATTTCATTTAGCTATTTTTCTGGAGAATTCTCTTGTTTGTTTTCCCATTTTGGCTGCCTGTTTGGGTTTGTGTCTATGTATTACTCCCAACCTCTATGACTCCCAACCTCTAGTGAAACACCTTTTCTGATAGTTTCTGACTGGCCCTGAGTCCCCTGTTTGGAGCTATCAGCAACCCACAGCTTGAGGCTTCCTCTGTGGGGGCTAACTGCCTTTGGAAAGAACCAAGATGTGCACTAAGGTCTGCTTTTCTTATCGCAGGCCCTGTATTAGATCAGGCAAAGGCTTATAGGCTCCAGATAACCTGCCTCTGCCTGCAAGCTGATTGTTATTCTCACTCTCTTAATGGGCCTCATAAGCTCCGCAGGGTAGGTCAATGGTTTTCCAATAGGGTAAGGCAATTGCCTCCCCCTCTCCACTCCAGGCAAAAGCTGCCTGGATGGTAAAGGTCTGCTGGAGAAAGATGTCCTCTGCAATATGAGGGAAATGACTCAGTACAGGAAATGGGTGTCTGTCTTCTGAGTTATAATCCCAGAGCCCTCAACCCTGGCTTCTGTTCACACAGTCCAATCCACTCTGCCTTTCCTCTGCTGGAACCCTAGGTGAGTGCCTGCACATGTAATTTTGTGTATTGGCTATTTAAGAGGTTGCCTGTATTTCCATCTCTCTCTCCCTGGCAGGGAGTAACCCTGATGCTATTCACAGCCAGATGTTCTGTGGTCACCTTTCTCAGTTCTGATGCCCTGGACTGGGGAGCCCAGCTTGGGTTTAGACCCCATAGTTCTCAGTGGGAACTCCCCACAGTTGAGAGATCCTTTCAGAACTTCAGTTGCTGTCTATGACAGTGGATCAACCCTTTCACACTTCTGTACTTCCTACCAGTCTAAGCAGTCTCCACTTTTCATCCTTGGTTATCAGGGTTCTCTCCAGCTAGACTTCAGTTGATTATTCAGGATGGTTTTTCTGTATTTTAGTTATAAGTCCAGTTTGGTACTGGAAGCAAGTCAGTGTAGTTTCCACTTATTCTGCTGCCATTTTGGAATCTCCAGTATTTTTCTCTTAATGCAAATGTTGAAGAGAAGAACTTCATTGTTGTTATTTTTTATTAAATAGCATATAATTGCCTAGCCAGTGTGGCACAGTGGCTGAGTATTGAGTCATGAAAGAGGAGGTCATGGTTTGATTCCCAGTCAGAAAATCATGCTGAGGTTGCAAGCTCAATTCCCAGTAGGGGGCATACAGAAAGTAGTCAATTGACGTTTCTCTCATGGATGTTATTATCTCACTATCCTCCTCCCTTCCTCTCTCTGAAGTCAATAAGAACATATTTAAAAAAATAAAAGCATATCATCTATAGCAACTTGGTGAGATATTCTCTCAGCAAAAGATAAAATGATCAAGGCTCATATGAAAGCATAGCCTAAATGTCCTTGCTCTTAGTATTGACTTATATAATACTTTCTTCTATCAGTGTTTCCCAAAGTATGGTATGCGTACTCCCAGGGGTACAGGAAGAGTTTGATGAGGGTATGCGTTGCACCAGAGTTTGGTGGGGATATGCACTGCACCGTGCTTAGCTGCGCCTAATTCTACATTCTCATGAGTACGAGGGGTACTCAGTGTTATGAAAATTATAGAAGGGATACACATATGTCAAAAGTTTGGGAAACATTGTATGTCTGAAGAGATTACTTGACTTATATATTCACTTAAACATTTTCCTGCCATACTCAACAAAAAAAAAGTCACTAACACCTTATGGCTTTAGCAATAAAACCAAAACTAATTGTGATAATAGTGTTTATTTTATTCTAATATATGCTTAATGGCTTTATAATCTTCAGTAGCTATCCTGAACTGATATTTTTCTCTGCACTTGGGACCTTATGATCTATAACCTGTGGTGCCAAAGAACAATGGTCTAAGGCAGTGGTCAGCAAACCGCTGTTCTCGAGCCATATGCGGATCTCTGGCCCCTAAGTGTTCTAACGCCACTTCTTCAAAATAGACTCTCCCAGCTGAAACCGCTTTGGCTCAGTGGATAGAGCATCAGCCTGTGGACTGAAAGATCCTGGGTTTGATTCCAGTCAAGGGCATGTACCTTGGTTGTGGGCACATTCCCAGTGGGGAGAGTGCAAGAGGCAGCTGATCGATGTTTCTAGCTTTCTATCCTTCTCCCTTCCTCTCTATAAAAACTCAATAAAATATATATTTTTTTAAAAAAATAGACTCTCTCAGGCCAAAAAAAAAAAAAAAAAAAAAAAAAAAACAACTTCTGCACATGGGCCATGAAGTTCCAATTTGTACGTGCACGCCTGCACTTGATATTTTATAGAAGAGCCACACTCAAGGGGCTAAAGAGCCACATGTAGCTCGTGAGCCGTGGTTTGCCGACCACTGGTCTAAGAAAATGCCACCTAACTTAAGGAAAGCTTATACCTCTCAAAAATTATTTCCTTTCATTTCTTTCTTCCATAGGGTAGGCCCAGAAGCTAATGTGTCTTGCTCTCTTGCCACTAAGCCACAGGGAGGGGCTCTTGCCC